ATGGCCGCAATCACCATCTGCAGTGATTTTGGAGCCCAAGAAAATAAAGTCTGTCACGGTTTCCATTGTTTCCCCATCTATTTTCCATGAAGTGATGGGACCAGATGCCACGATCTTCGTTTTTTGAATGCTAAGTTTTAAGCCAACTTTTTCACTCTCATCTTTCACTTTCATCAAGAGGCTCTTCAGTTCCTCTTTGCTTACTTCCATAAGGGTGGTGTCATCTGCATATCTGAGGTAATTGATATTGTGAGATGAATGCAATTGTGTGGTAGTTTGAACATTCTTTGGCATTACCTTTCTTTGGGATTGGAATGAAAACTGATCTTTTCCAGGCCTATGGCCACTGCTGAGTTTTCCAAATGGCAGGGGAACTCTAATTGGTAGTATTTGCCAGTTTCATTTATACAACAGAAGCTAGCAAATGCTAATAAGAGTTCTCCTCCCTGCTATGCTGTTCTTAATCACTCAGTCATGTCCGACTCTTTGTAACCCCATTGACTATAGCCTGCTAGGCTCCTCTGTCCATGGGATTCTCCAGGCAAGAATACTGGAGTGGGTAGCCATTCCCTTCTCCAGGGGATCTTCACAACCCAGGGATCGAGCCCAGGTCTCCCGCACTGCAGGCAGATTCTTTACCAGTGAGCCACTAGGGAAGCCCAAGAATACTGGAGTGGGGAGCCTTTCCCTTCTCCAGAGGAACTTCGAAACCCAGGGATCACACCGCGGTCTCCTGTATTGCAGGCAGATTCTTTACCAGCTGAGCTACCCAGCAAGCCCCTCTCCTCCCTGCTAAGAGGTGTTAATCCCTTACCACTTACTAGCACACCACAGCTGGTTCTTCTGTGCACACCCTGCCAGGTCAGGCCTCCTCTATGCTTCTGGGAACATGTCACATCTCAGCCAGAAAAACCTCCAAATTCAACACTCCCCTACAAGATCCCAAACAGGAAATGCAGGAGGCAGACAGCAAACTAAATAAGAATCCGACAGGAGTTTTGAATTATGCTGAACCTTCACTGACTTCCCTCTGTTTTCTAATTGCTTATCCTGAGAATCCAGGTCTGGAGAAAAGCTTTTTCTCTGTGCTGAGTGTTCTTTGTTCTCTCTGAGCTGAGTTCTCAGAGAAGGAGAAGGGCTGTGGCCAGACCCCACATTCAAGGCACTAGCCAAGCAGCTTTTCACCTCGCTGGATAGCTGAATTCCCAGCCCACGTGTAGGAAGTGTTCTGTGTCGCAGAAAGAATCCACAAGATGTATGAAATAGAGGTAAAAGAGTTCAAAGGGAGGAAAAGAGTGCTTTCTCCACAATCTTAATTTTTATCTTCCTAGATGGCCTTGGACAACAACATCCTCTATCCTATATGAGCCATCAGAATTCAACGCCTTATGTACAATTTTGCCATCACCATAGATATTCTCCTCAGATACCTTTCTAGTTATGCTCCATCTGTCATACCCTTGACCTCATTATATCTCCTCTTAAATATCACAGCCATTGCCAGATCTTCATTTTTTTAAAAAATTTTCTCTCTCCTCCCTCTCAGCTGGGAAGTGAAGGTAAGCATCTCAACCACTGTCCTTCAATTTCCCTGTATTCCCCTGGACCATGTTGGCTAGTTGAACCTTGGAAATGATCAATTCACAGAAAATAAAAGTTATACAAGAAAGAAAGTGTAACTATAGCATATGGCAAGGCTGAGAACAAAATTTATATAATCATAGGGATGTCACGTTTTGAAAGTTAATTTAATCAAAACCTGCAAAACAACTAAAGCAGGAGGGTGCTTATAGGGAAAATTTCCTGTTTTCCCCTTGCTCTCTCTCTCTCTCTCACACACACACACACACACACACACACTCCCCTTCCTCTCACACACACACTCTAATGTCTTGTGTGTGGGGTTTTCCTCCTCACCAAGCAGTTCTCTATGACACCAGATGGATGCTCCATAATTCCATTCTGACACTAACCAAAGTTAAAGTTAGCACACACCCCACAGTCCCACAAGACTGTGCCCCACCTCAAATGGCAGTCCCCACGTTACTCACAACTTCTGTCTGACTTGGCTACAAATCAGATCTTCCCATGACTGCTCCTCTCCTTAGATTTGATCAGTGGCTAGAACAGTTCATTAAATTCAGAAACAGTTTTACATATATTGGCTTATGATTTATTAAAGGGTATTGTGAAAGATATAGATGAACAGTCAGATGAAGAGATACGTAGAGCAAGACTTGGAAGGATCCTGCAAAGAGTTGGACACAGCTGAGCAACTGAACTGAACTGAGCATAGGAGTTGGAGTGTGCCAACCTGGAAGCTCTCCAAACCCTACACTTCTGGGGTTTTTATGGAGGCCTCTCAACTGGTAAAGAATCCACCTGCAATGCAGGAGACCTGGGTTCTATCCCTGGGTTGGGAAGATCCCATGGAGAAGGGAACAGCTACCCACTCCAGTATTCTGGCCTGGAGAATTCCATGGGCTGTATAGTCAATGGGGCCACAAAGAGTCAGACGTGACTTAGCAACTTTCACTATCATCATGTAAGGATGATGAATCATTAACTAGCCTCCAACCTCTTCCTCTTCCTGAAAGATGGGAGGTGAGACTGAAAATTCCAAGCTTTTAACCAAGGCTTGGTCTTTCCAGTAAACAGCCCCCATCCTAAGGCTCTCTGGAGCCCACTCAGAGTCATTTCATTAAAACAAAAGATGCCTATTTGCACATCATTGTCTATACCTAGCTACAATGGAGGCAAGGAAAAGAAACCTTTCCATTGGGCCCATGATTATCCAAAATAAAACCAGGATGTTGATAGAAAAGCAGAAAGGGAAAAGGGATTGGAGAGGTAAGCAATCAGCATTCTCTGGCACATTGATCATTTCCCAAGGTTATGTGTGGCTTTCTGAGTCTGTGTTCTTAACCCTTAAATAAATATGACCCAAAGGTAAAAAATAAATTAATAAATAAAACAAAAGATGCTCCTATCGCCCAGGAAATTTCAAGGGATTTAGGAGCTCTGTGTCAGGAACCAGACAGTGAACCTAAGGCAATGAAACAAGGATTTCCTTTCCCAGATTCAGCTACTGATTCTTCTTGGGATGACAGCCCCTGCCTTCTTCTCCCAGGGCAACCTTCCTGGGATCAGCTCCCAGCCTCCAACACTGGCACACCATGAATCCTTCTCTTCCCTGCTCCCTTTTCCTCTGCCTCCTCTTCAGTCTGTCTATGTTTTTTTAAAAAACTATTTATTTGGTTCCTCCAGGTCTTAGTTGCAGCATGTGGGATCTAGTTCCCTGACCAGGGATTGAACCCAGTCCCCCTGCATCGGAAGCACAGAGTCCTAGCCATGGGACACCAGGGAAGTCCCCCACCTACCCTTTCTAAGATTCCTCTTTTCTCTCCTGTCTCCTCCTCAAGTCTCATCTTCCAAATCAAGTATTGCACATAGAGGCTGGCAGCTTTGACAGACCTTTGTTGGCAAAGTAATGTTTCTACTTTTCAATATGCCGTCTAGGTTGGTCATTTTTCCAGTAGTCATGAGAGCTGGACTATAAAGAAAGCTGAGCCCTGAAGAATTGATGCTTTTGAACTGTGGTTTTGGAGAAGACTCTTGAGAGTACCTTGGACTGCAGGGAGATCAAACCAGTCAATCCTGAAGGAAATCAACCTGAATATTCATTGGAAGGACTGATGTTGAAGCTGAAAAGCCAGTATTTTGACCACCTGATGCAAAGAACTAACTCATAAAAAGACCCAGATGCTGGGAAAGATTGAAGGCAGGAGAAAGGGACGACAGAGGATAAAATGGTTGGATGGAATCATCGACTCGATGAACATCGGTTTGAGTAAGCTCTGGGAATTGGTGATGGACAGGGAAGCCTGGCATGCTGCAGTCCATGGGGGTCTCAAAGAGTCGGACACGACTGAGTGACTGAACTGAACATAGAGGCTGGCAGACAGAATGAAGGAATGTTCAGGATCGCGGAGGCCTGGGGCAAGCCAGAGGGCACAGGGCATCCACTCCAGCCTGTGGCTGCTACACAGGGATGAAGATGTCCTGTTGCCAGATCTTTCCACTTATCTGGAGGTCTGTGGCCTTCTGCTGTCTATGAAACTCCTTGTTTTTAAATGTTGGCAACTAGTTCAAATATTTATGGTTAGACCCAGAGACTGAATCAATAAAAAAAACTGAGTTCCCCCAGTCCCTGAAGAAGTTTCATTCAAACTTTGACAAGAGATGAGGAAAATACTTATATTCTAGTCTTCTAGGGCAGCTAACTACAGAAGGTGGGATAAAATCTTTAAATTTCCATGTTTATTCTGGTGAATTAAAATCTGGGACTTTTAGCTGGAAATTGGCCGTTTTAATTCAGTAGAAGAAATACCACCACCAAAAAGATTTCACACCCTTGCAGACTGAGCACCTCTTCCCCTCTCCCCTACTCAAAGCTGGCTCTTCCCTAGACTTGTCATTGACAAAACCTCTGTTGCACTGCTCCCCATCTCACTCCCAGCACTGTCTCCTGCCAAAACTCCACCAACATACACAGATTCTCCATCAGCAACCTCCAGGAAAGGATCAGCTACCTCCCTTTCCTTTCCGGGAGTATTATTGGGTTCTTCCCAGAAAAGTTCCAGGGCAATTCTCTGAAGTTTCATATACACTATCCCATTTAATTAAGTCCTCTTTTTCTCCTTTAACAAATATTTCTGAACTGAGGCCAGCCCTGCTCCACATTCATGCCCAAGCAGCACCTGCCTCTCCCCAAGGGCTGGATGGAGCTCTGCACCAGCTAGAAGCCCCAAGCATCTGTGGGTGTTGCATCAAACCAGCCCAGCCTTGCCTAGTCATCAGAGGTGGCAGCTTGCTAATAAAAACCTGAGGCAGAGAGGAGAGAGGCTTTTCTGAGAGGCAGCCGCGCAGACAGCACCAAGAAGCAGCTGGAAATCCCTCACTGGCCTTGCTGCTACAGCCCTGCAGCTCAGCGCTCAGTCATGCTACGGACAGGCTTCCAGGTGGCGGTGATACTTGGTCACCATGGAGCTCTTCCTGGTCTCACCCACCTCCTGCCCAGATTCAACCCTGCCTCAGCCTTTGGATCCTCCATGGAGACCCTGGTGAGTGAGTTCTCAGTTCAACCAAATGCACAGCCTTCTGGAGCCCAAGGATATAGTTGTTGTTGTTGTTGTTCTGTTGCTAAGTTGTGATTCTTTGCAACCCCATGGACTGTAGCCCACCTGGCTCCTCTGTCTATGGAACTCTTCAGGCAAGCGAGCTGCCATTTCCTTCTCCAAGGATCTTCCTGACCCAAGGATCGAACCCACATCTTCTTCATTGCAAGTGGACTCTTTACCATCTGAGCCACCATAGGGACCAACACAAATCTCCTCTTCCTAGATCATGGCCAGGGTAGGTGAGCCGCTTATTGGGAGCTATTTGATTTGGCAAAGGAAACCAAGTAGCCCAGATCCCAAACTAAGACCACCAGGTTACTTTCCTCCTGATCTGAATCTTGTGTGGCCACCAATCACTTTCCTCCTACGGGGCTCAGACTGTCGGGACATCCCCAGGCGAAGGATGCTGTGTGCGGCCTTAGCAAACAACTGGCCTGTTGCCCATGGTTGCAGTTGGTGCATGAGCATCTGGTGCCACAGAGGACTCCTCTTCATCCCATAGAAGGTACTGCACCACTGCGGGTGCCCAAAACATATTTCAAAAGAGCCCCCACTCCCCACTTCCCCATTGTTACTCACTTCAGGATGAGGACAGCTATGGACAGAGCCGAAGTAGCCCCTGAGGTGAGTAACAATGGTCCTCACCTGTGGTCCCACTCCCGTTCCCACCCCCATCCCCCCCCACCCCGAGTTTGACAGTTGCTCAGAATGAGCTCTGAGCTTCCCAGGTGGCATTAGCTTCCCAGGTGGTAAAGAACCCACCCGCTATGCAGGAGACAAAAAAGATGCAGATTCGATCCCTGGGTTAGGAAGATCGTCTGGAGGAGGGCACAGCAACCCACCCCAGTATTCTTGCCTGGAGAATTCCATGGACAGAGGAGCCTGGCAGGCTATGGTCCATGGTGCCGCAAAGAGTCGGAACCAAATGAAGCAACTTAGCACACACAAAAAGAGCTCTAGTCCAACCATCAGCTCATATGCTCATAAGTTTGGCAACCTTAGCCATATTTCCTCAGTTTTCCCATCTGTACAGTGGGGCTAATACTAGCCATTTTCAGCCTCAAAGAATAGCTCCAGGTGGTTTTCATTTTTGTTCTTGTTTGGCTGCGTTGGGTCTTAGTTGCAGCACATGGGATCTTCTTTGCGACATGCAGGATCTTTCATTCAAGCACTCCAACTCTCTAGTTGTGACACAGGCTCAGTACTGTGGCGCATAGGCTTAGTTGCTCCTCAGCATGTGGGATTTTAGTTCCCTGACCAGGGATTGAACCTTCAACCCCTCCATTGCAAGGCAGATTCTTAATCACTGGACCAGCAAGGAAGTTCCTTCTCAGGTTTTAAAGCAGAGCAATTATACTGCACCATCACAGAGATGCTGCCTCTAATTGTCAGCCCCAACGCCTTTCCTTCCCTTCCTTTGCACATTAGTGTCCCCTAGCCTGATAGCTCAGTTGGTAAAGAATCCACCTGCAATGTGGGTAGACCTGGGTTCAATCCCTGGGTTGGGAAGATCCCCTGGAGAAGGGAAAGGTTACCCACTCCAGTATTCTGGCCTGGAGAATTCCATGGACCGTATAGTCAATGGGGTCGCAAAGAGTCAGACACGACTGAGTGACTTTCACTTTTCCCCTTGCCTGGTCACTCTCAGGAGTCCCCAAGGGCCATTTTCCTCAACACTGACAGAAGGGATCGAGGAGCCCAAGAACCCAGGAGCTGGGTTACATTATGTACAGATCCCGCAGCCCAAACCACGGGCCACCTTCCAGAAAGCCATCTAGTCTCCCCAATCTTTCCTGCCCAGGTCTCAAGATTCTGTCGGGAGATGACAGAGAGTAAGAATTACGCCCTCCCCAATGCCAGCTGGGGTCCAGACATGCTGAGCCTGTATCATGAATTTCTGGAGAAGACCAAGACCGAAGGCTGGGTCAGATTGCCTTCCTTCAGGTCCAACAGAGACCACATCCAGGGGTTCCATCTCCCACTAATGTCATCAGCTAACTCAGGTAAGGCCTGGCCTGAGAGCGGCCCTTGGCATGCACATGCACCAGCCCACTGGAATCTGTTCAGCCAGCCCCTTTTCTGGCAGCCAGGGACTTATCGGGAGGAAACTCACAAGCTCTCTGCCAGTTCTCAGCCAGTTCTTTCTGGCAAGTCAATCCCTCATGCTGCAGCCCCAGGCACATGGATGAGGAAAGCGTCCTCTCAGCCCCCGCCCCCTACTCCCCTCCTCCTGGGGGATGAGAGCATGCCCAAGCAACCGCCTCTGCTCCCAGCCCAGAGTACACCCTCCAGAGAACTGCTGACTCAGCCCTCCACCCATCTGCCTCCTCACCAGGGATGCTTGCCTTACTGTCAAGCCTTATCCCAAGTCCCCCTCCCCACCCCACAAAGGTCTGAGGATTCCCCCTTGCCCACTGGAGACCCTCCACACCATCCCTGTTCTGCTAGGCCCAGAGACTCCTGAAACACCCACAGGTCAGAGCAATAGAGCTTTCCACTTTGATCTCTCTGCCTGTGCATGGACATGGACAGGTTAACATGTCTCTCTCACTCACATACGTGTTCTTCCAGCCAAGTGCCGACTAGATGGTCCATTCAGTTTATGGAAAAAACAAAGTTGCATCGAAAATTTTTGAAGATTTTGGTTTTCATCCGAGAGAGATGTGGTTCTTCTAGTCACCTTGAGGAAAAAAAAAAAAATCAGAACTTTGTGGGATTCCTTTGCACTTATTTTTCTGTTCCATATTGTTATTTTGAACAGTATGTGTATTAAATGCCTTACATTTTAATTTTCAATGTTTAAGGTCTCTTAAAGTCTGACTTGTCTATGACCCTACAACTACTCTCAGCCAGGGAACTTCATGAATGTTTCTTCCTCAAGATTCAGGGCCCCCGGAGGACAGGGCTGTGTTCCGCTCAGACCCAGGGCTCCAGAGGACAGGGCCGTTGTCCCCTCAGACCAAAGACCTTGAGGACGGGTCAGTGCCTCACTCTCCAGCTGAAGACTCCCCAAGAGCAGAGCCCGCGTGTCCCCTGGTTCTCTCCTCAACAGTGTGCCGGAGGCCAGCTCCACCTCTGACCCTGCCTCCTGAGGGGTCCCCCTGGCCTCACACACTTCCTCCTTCAGCTGTGTCACCGCCCATCTCTCCCCAGGCAAAAGTGACTGGCGCCTCTTCACCAGGTGTATTGAAAGGGAAGGACAAGGCTACGAGTACGTCATCTTTTTCCAACCATCTGAGAAGAAGTCCATCTGTCTTTTCCAACCAGGACCCTACCTGGAGGGGGCTCCAGGGTAAGATAACGGGCTAACCCCAGCGGGGGACATCTTTGGCTGCTTCCTGGGCTTGGCCAAGGGGGTGGACTGGGCTCGGCCAGCCTCTGGGCTCTGTGCCTCTCTCTGTGGAGTTTGGTGGAGAGTGGGAGGCACTGCACTTCAGTCTCATGGTGTCGGATGTGGAAGGATATTCTGTCATCTGGCTCAGTCCCCACCGGGCAGATAAGAGACAGTCTCCTGATTCCAGGCCTGGGAATTGTTCAGTAAAAAGGGGCCTCAGAAGCCACTCTGAGAAGGGTGTAGTGGACTCAGAAGATGACAAGATCTGGAGTTAAGGGCCAGACTTCCAGTCCTCCTCTGCCACTGCTTGTATGAAGACCCCAAGCAAGCAAGTTAACCTCTGTCTCCTGGCCTTCAGTCTCCTGGAAAAGGAAATGGCAACCCACTCCAGTATGCTTGCATGGAAAATCCCATGGATGCAGGAGCCTGGTGGGCTACAGTCCATGGGGTCACAAAGAGTTGGACATGACTGAAATGACTTAGCATGCATGCACTTCAGTCTCCTTACCTAAATCTTGGGGCAGTAATATCTACCTCCCAGAATAGCTGACAGATATGATATGAAGGGCCTGTGTGTATGTACTCATAAACCATAAAGCACAATACAGCTATCAGGCTATCTCTCCAAACTTCACCTTTGCCCAGTGGGCAAACTGAGGCGCACAGAGGTAAGTGATCTTGCCCAAGGCAGCACAGGCAGTTAAGGTCAGATCCGGGACTCTAACCCAGGAGGCGGGGCTCCAAGTCCATTGCTTCTTCTGTACTCCACTGCCTCCAAACTGGGAAGGGACCCAGGAAAGAGCTCACACTGGATGTAAATACATTCACGCTGGACATAAACACACACTCAGACAGGCCCTGAGCCTCTTGCTTAAGAACACTGGGTCCACGTCACCAGGTCCGTGTTTGTCTGCCTTCTTGATCCCTGTTCCTGCTTTAGACAGTCACTGAAGGCTAACTGTGGGGTCAGAATTCTTGCAAGGGAGAGGAGAGAGGGGAGGGAAGGAGAAACTTAAGGGTCCCAAGACCTTAGAGAGACTGAGTTGCAGTTAAACAGAATTCAAAGAGATTATTAGATGTCCGCACCTCTGCAGGCCACAGATTCCAACTGCAGCCCTCTCGTCCCCTTGGCCATCCTGAAGGCATCTTCCATGGGGACTCCCACATGAGTGCACGCAGACACTGGGGGACTAGTCAGAGCTCTACCTGGGCCACGGGTCCCCTCCCTTATGAAGAGGAAAAGCCCCCAAAGAGGCAAGGGTAGGGTGGAATGTGGCCTTTGATTTGGGGGCTCATGGAAGTGGGGCTGGAAAGGCAGAAGAGAACCACTCAACACTGAGGCTAGAAGATCGAGGGGATCCAAGAAGGGATCAGCACTGAATTAGAAACACCCAGGTCAGTCGACCTCCTGTGTGAGGAAAAATCTTGTACTTCCTGCTGTCTTTCTTTCCCATGAGCTTCCTTCACTCTCACACAAAACACTTCCCTTCTGACACTTAGGTCACCAAATGGCTGGAAGCTCCCCCAACACCAAGCAATTCTCTGTGACACCAATGGGGGGTCCTGCAATAGAACACTGTCTACCTGGAGATGGTGTCAGACCCCACAGGTTAAAGACTCAGTCCCACAAGACTGCTTCCACCCTTCTTCAGATGCCAACTGCAAGTGTAGGTGCACAGGTTACCCACAATTTCTGATCTGGCAGTAACTAGTGGTTCCCAGTACCCTTTCCTCTGGTTGGATGAATTTACTAGAACCAGTCACAGAACTCAAAGAAACACTTACTTATGTTCCAGTTCAGTTCAGTTCAGTTGCTCAGTCATGTCCAACTCTTTGTAAACCCATAATCCACAGCACGCCAGAACTCCTTGTCCATGATGAACTCCCGGAGTTTACCCAAACTCATGTCCATCGAGTCAGTGATGCCATTCAACCATCTCATTCTCTGTCATCCCCTTCTCCTCCTGTCCTCAATCCTTCCCAGCATCAGGGTCTTTTCAAATGAGTTAGCTCTTTGCATCAGGTGGGCAAAGTATTGGAGTTTCAGCTTCAACATCAGTCCTTCCAATGAACACTCAGGTCTGATCTCCTTTAGGATGGGCTGGTTGGATCTCCTTGCAGTCCAAGGGACTCTCAAGAGTCTTCTCCAACACCACAGTTCAAAAGCATCAGTTCTTTGAAGGTCAGCTTTCTTTATAAATCAGCTCTCACATCCATATGACTTCCCTGGTGGCTCAGACGGTAAAGTGTCTGCCTACAATGTGGGAGACCTGGGTTCGGTCCCTGGGTCGGGAAGATCCTCTGGAGAAGGAAATGGCAACCCACTCCAGTACTCTTGCCTGGAAAATCCCATGGATGGAGGACCATCCATACATGACTACTGGAAAAACCATAGCCTTGACTAGATGGACCTTTGTTGACAAGGTAATGTCTCTGCTTTTTAATTTGCGGTCTAGGTTAGTCATAACTTTCCTTCCAAGGAGTAAGTGTCTTTGAATTTCATGGCTTCAATCACCATCTGCAGTGATTTTGGAGCCCAAAAAATAAAGTCAGCCGCTGTTTCCCCATCTATTTACTATGAAGTGAAGGGACCAGATGCCATGATCTTAGTTTTCTGAATGCTGAGCTTTAAGCCAACTTTTTCACTCTCCTCTTTCACTTTCATCAAGAGGCTCTTTAGTTCCTCTTACTTTCTGCCATAAGGGTAGTGTCATCTGCATATCTGAGGTTATTGATATTTCTCCCAGCAATCTTGATTCCAGCTTGTGCTTCTTCCAGCCCAGTGTTTCTCATGATGTACTCTGCATATAAGTTAAATAAGCAGGGTGACAATATACAGCCTTGACATACTCCTTTTCCTATTTGGAACCAGTCTGTTGTTCCATGTCCAGTTCTAACTGTTGCTTCCTGACCTGCATACAGGTTTCTCAGGAGGAAGGTCAGGTGGTCTGGTATTCCCATCTCTTCAAGAATTTTCCACAGTTTATTGTGATCCACACAGTCAAAGGCTTTGGCATAGTCAATAAAGCAGAAACAGGTGTTTTTCTGGAGCTCTCTTGCTTTTTCGATGATCCAGCAGGTGTTGGCAATTTGATCTCTGGTTCCTCTGCCTTTTCTAAAACCAGCTTAAACATCTGGACGTTCACGGTTCACATATTGCTGAAGCCTGGCTTGGAGAATTTTAAGCATTACTTTACTAGCGTGTGAGATGAGTGCAATTGTGCGGTAGTTTGAGCAATCTTTGGGGTTGCCTTTCTTTGGGACTGGAATGAAAACTGACCCTTTCCAGTCCTGTGGCCACTGCTGAGTTTTCCAAATTTGCTGACATATTGAGTGCAGCACTTTTACAGCATCATCTTTTAGGATTTGTAATAGCTTAACTGGAATTCCATCACCTCCACTAGCTTTGTTTGTAGTGATGCTTTCTAAGGCCCACTTGACTTCACATTCCAGGATGTCTGGCTCTAAGTGAGTGATCACACCATCGTGATTATCTGGATCATGAAGATCTTTTTTTATATAATTCTTCTGTGTATTCTTGCCACCTCTTCTTAAAATCTTCTGCTTCTGTTAGGTCCATACCATTTCTGTCCTTTATTGAGCCCATCTTTGTATGAAATGTTCTCTTGGTATCTCTAATTTTCTTGAAGAGATCTCTACTCTTTCCCATTCTATTGTTTTCCTCTACTTCTTCACATTGATCACTGAGGAAGGCTTTCTCATCTCTCCTTGCTATTCTTTGGAACTCTGCATTCAAATGGGTATATCTTTCCTTTTCTCCTTTGCTTTTTGCTTCTCTTCTTTTCACAGATATTTGTAAGGCTTCTTCAGACAGCCATTTTGCTTTTTTACATTTCTTTTTCTTGGGGATGGTCTTGATCCCTGTCTCCTGTACAGTGTCATGAACCTCTGCCCATAGTTCATCAGGCACTCTGTCTGTCAGATCTAGTCCTTTAAATCTATTTCTCACTTCCACTGTATAATAATAAGGGATTTGATTTAGGTCATACCTAAATGGTCTAGTGGTTTTCCCCACTTTCTTCAATTTAAGTCTGAATTTGGCAATAAGCAGTTCATGATCTGAGCCACAGTCAGCTCCCTGTCATGTTTTTGCTGACTGTATAGAGCTTCTCCGTCTTTGGCTGTGAAAAATATAATCAATCTGATTTCGGTGTTGACCATCTGGTGATGTCCATGTGTAGAGTCCTCTCTTGTGTTGTTGGAAGAGGGTGTTTGCTATGACCAGTGTGTTCTCTTGGCAAAACTCTATTAGCCTTTGCCCTGCTTCATTCTGTACTCCAAGGCCAAATTTGCCTGTCGCTCCAGGTGTTTCTTGACTTCCTACTTTTGCATTCCAGTCCCCTGTAATGAAAAAGACATCTTTTTTGGGTGTTAGTTCTACAAGGTCTTGTAGGTCTTCATAGAACCATTCAACTTCAGCTTCTTCAGCTTTAATGGTCAGGGCATAGTCTTGGATTACCATGATATTGAATGGTTTGCCTTGGAAACGAACAGAGATCATTCTGTCATTTTTGAGATTGCATCCAAGTACTGCATTTCAGACTCTTTTGTTGACTATGATGGCTACTCCATCATAGTCTTCTAAGGGATTCTTGCCCACAGTAGTAGATGTAATGGTCATCTGAGTTAAAGTCACCCATTCCAGTCCATTTTAGTTCGCTGATTCCTAGAATGTCAATGTTCACTCTTGCCATCTCCTATTTGACCACTTCCAATTTGCCTTGATTCATGGACCTATGAGACACAGATTATTTGTATTCACAATTCACAGTGAGAAAACTAAGGCTTAGAAAGGTTTAGCAACTTGCACAAGATCAAACAGGTAGCGAAGGTGGAGCAAGGAGTCAAACCAGGCGGGCGTGGTTGCATGGCCCCCAGTACTTCCCACCAAAGGGAGCAGAAGCAGGGGTGTGTGGGAAGCCTGCTGGTGGCAGGCACAGCAGGGTAACCCGTGATAGCCCAGCAGGGAAGCTGACCTGGTTGGTGGAGATTAGGTGTCACACTGTTGAAAGTCAGAAACTGGAATCTCTTTCGAGTTATCTGCTTTCTAAAACTCTGTGCCTTTCTATTTCCCCCAACTTAACCAGCAATGGAGCTTTGGCATGAAGAAAGTCAGGTTACACAAGTTAGAACGAGAATTTGCACCCTTTAAATAAAGCAAGTGTTTGCAGCATCTACTGAAACTGGCTCTCAGCTTTCCTCAGGCAGCGCCGCTCTGGAGTCCATCTTGTCATCACTGAATAGGTCCTAGGTCAAGTGTCATGGTTACCCATCTTGAAAATGTGGGCTCAACACTGGCCATAGTGACTGGTGAGGTGAGAGCTGCTGAAGGTCACAGTTTAGAGACTAAAACCCAAAAGTTCAGGGATTTTTCCATCCCCTAAAGGAGTGCACCTTTCCAAACTAGGGTAATTGCTACCAGCAGTTAGGTGATGAATCAAAAAAAAGGTCTCTTCTAGTCATTCTATCAGAAAAAAATTTTTTTCCTGGTGAAATACAATAATGGTATCAGTGGTTGCTAACACAGGCTGTAGTAACATGAAAGAAAAACCAGCTGATTTTTACTGGTTTGACCAGACAGAATCCAGATCTGTTTCCTTTCCTTTCCTGGGGAAAGATGGAAGTGGTGGTGGTGGGGGTGGTTTCTGTCCCTGGCCTTACTCCCTGCCTTCTCCCCCAGGTTTGCCCACGGAGGGTCCCTGGCAGCCTTGATAGATGAGACCTTTTCTAAAACTGCTTACCTGTCTGGAGAGGGGCTGTTAACAGTAAATTTCAACATCAGGTTCAAAAAGTAAGTATGGGGTACTTCCCTGGCAGTCCAGTGGTTAATACACCCCACTTCCTATGCAGAGGGTGTGGGCTCAATCCCTGGTCAGAGAACTAAGACCCCATGTGCTATATGGTGTGGCAAAAAAATTAAACAAACAAAAAATCAGGTTTTTTTTTTTTTTTAAGTAAGTACAGATCTTTGGGGTGTTGGCCATTGAGGGGGCAGTTGGGGTGCAGAAGACCGGTCATGCTCCTTCCCCAGCCACACAGTCCCTTGGTCCCCTGGCCAGATCAGAACCTCTGTCATGCAACTCCGGTTGCTGGCAGATGGGCCCTGATCCGGGAGCCACTTAAGTCCTTGAGGCAAGGTAAGATGAAGAGGAGTATGGGGGAAGACAGAGAGTTGAGGGGCAGGGCCCAGGGCTTACATGAGCGGGGCTATGCCACCTCCTCTCCCAGCTTGATTCCCCTGGGCTCTCTGGCTGTGCTGAATGTCAGCGTGGAAAAGATCGAGGACCAGAAGGTGTACCTGTCCTGTGTCACCCAGAGCAGAGACCAGCAGACAGTTTACGCTAAAGCCTCAGGTAAAGAGGACCTGAGCCCCAGCCCCTGGCCCTGTCCTGCTGACGCCATGCCCGGGACAAACAGAAGGGGAAATGCTAAGGATCCAATCCCAAGGTGGGCTCCAGCTTTTTAGAGTGGGATTGGGACCTGCTGTACACACAAAGTGAAGAAAAACCCAATTAGGACTTTTTTTTTTTCTGTATATGAGTGGCCCAACATGTCTCGCAAAGCCAGGACCCAGGCACTGAGTAACTGGGTACCAAAGCTCTGAGCGCCCCATCAGCTCCTGCCATCCATGCTCTGGCCCCTGCCACTTGGCTCACCCTTCTCTTGCAGGCACTTTCCTCCAGATGCAGCTGGAAGAGGATTCATCTCAACACTAGACACAGTGCCTTCAGGAGGGCCTACCAATGACCACCTTCCCTACCGGGGACCCCCCGCAGAGCAGGGGGGTGCCCAAGAAGTAAACGGTGAAGTGAGGGAGGGGGTGCTTCCCTTGCATAAATAAAGTCTCACAGGCCTGTTCTCAGTCCAAGACGCTCCTATAGTTGAAACTCAAAATTCTCCCAGGGCCTCCCACATGCTCACTTTCCCATTCAGCACCAAGAGGAGCTGTGTACTGAGGCCTGCCAGGTGCTGCGTGAGGCGCCAGGCACACGGTGATGAAAGACAAGGCCCTTGGTCTCAGCATGCATGGCGCTGGGCGGGGAGCACAGCACCCCGTCAGATCCTCCCACCTCACCGAGGCCCCGGTTATGACACAAAGGGGGGAGGGGTCAGTTTTACTCTAGGAAAGCAATCAGAGGCTTTCTAGAGGAAGCGGTGCTTGAACTGGGTCTCAAAAGTTTAAGTGGTGTCCACCAGGCAGGCAGGGGAGAGGAGGATATTCTGAACAGGGGGCAAAGATACGATGACTTTGGAGAACAGCAAGGTGTTGAGTGGGGCAGGAGTTTAGGAAAAGAGAAGGGGACAGGGCAGGTGCAGGCCATGGAGGGTGCCTTAAACGGTGCAGTGGAGCTTGAACTTTGTCTTGTAGGCAACAGGGATCCTTTAAAGGATTTGGGCTGGGGCATGGCATAAAGTTTTGTTTTTTGGAAAGATGACTCTGGTGACAACAAGAGGTCAGCAAGACTAAAGGTGGGAGCACTGGTTAGGAGACCCCTGTGGGGCTCCAACAAGAAACAGTAATGACCTAACATGGTTCAAAGTGATGAAGATGAGAGAGATGAAAATGTTGCAAAGAGTACAGTTTCTGGCTTGATGGTTCCAGGTGGCATCACTGGGCATACAGGGGAGCAGGTTTGCAGTGGAGGGAGATACTGAGGTCAGCTTCACACAAATTGAGCTTGAAGTACCCATGGAACATTCACCACAAGGGGAGCAGCAGCAGGAGCCCTGGATATTATCATTTGGAACTCAGAATTGATTCCATACTGACTCAATCTGTAAGTCATCAGTATAAAAACTGACATGGAATCCCACGGAATGGATTATGCAGAACGAAAGTGAGGAGGAGCTATGAAGCATGAGAGGGACAAGATGAGACAGGAAGGAAGGATGGGGAAAGGGTTCAATGATGGAACATGTGGTCACACTAAGGCTTAAAGCAGGGACAGAGAATCAAACACCCACTAAGGAGGCCAAGAATAGGACAGGTGGGACCCCCGTTAGATCAGCAGTATCAAAGGCTATAGAGAAAGCAGACAAGAATTAAAAAGAGGCCTTTGGACTTGGCAGTAAGGAAGGTGATGGTCTTTTTTGCCAGGAGGTAGGAGCAAAATCTAGATTGTGGTAGATGAAAAACTGAATGGGAATGACAAACTGAATCGGGATGAGTCTTTCTAGGAATTTTGTTGCTATTACATTATTTAAAGAAAGAGAGTTAAGTGTATTGAGGAGAGAGGTGTCATCTTGCAGAATAGCCATCTGGTCTTAGAGATAGATCAAGAGCACAAATGGAGGGACTACCCTGGCGATCCAAGGGATTCTTAACCAAGAATCCACCTGCCAATGCAGGGGACATGGGTTTGATCCCTGGTCCTGGAAGATCCCACATGCTGAGGGGCAACTAAGCCTGTGGGCCACAACTACTAAAGCTCTGGAGTCCACAGGTGGACACAAGCGGAGACAGAAGAACATCAATGTGATTCTGAGACCAAAAGGAAGGAGTTGGAGGGTGGGACAGAGAGGGATTAGAAATTGACAGGGATTAGAGGTTGACAAGAGCACCTTGACTTCCTCAGTGAGATAGGAGGCAAGGCCACCAGTGGGGAAAGAGGTGTGGAGGAAAGGCAATGATTTGCATAAACCACAGTGAGGATCAGGACAACAAATTGACCAATCCATGGGGCTAAGGCATGCTGAAGGCCCAGCTGCTGGTGAAAGGTAGGCCTCTGGAGTGGCACCAACCTGGAGTGAAAGGAAGGTGTGAAGCAGCCAGCAAAACCAAGGGGCCATGGCAGGCGCATCAGGTGAGAACAATGGTAAAGGAGGAAAAAGACTGATATGGCTGGTGCACATTTCTAAGGAGGAAAGGTTTGATGTGAGAACAGCTGTGTCATTGTTCAGTCGCTCATTGGTGTCCAACTCTTTGTGACCCCATGGACTGCAGCACGCCAGGCTTCCCTGTCCGTCACCAACTCCCAGAGTTTGCTCAAACTCATGCCCATTGAGTCGGTGATGCCATCCAGCCATCTCACTTTCTGTCATCCCCTTCTCTTCCTGCCTTCAATCTTTCCCAGCATCAGTGTCTTTTACAATGAGTCAGCTCTTCACATCAGGTGGGCAAAATATTGGAGCTTCAACATCAGTTCTTCCAATGAATATCAGGGTTGATTTTCTTTAGGATGGACTGGTTGCATCTCCTTGCAGTCCAAGGGAATCTCAAGCGTCTTCTCTAACACCACAGTTCAAAAGCATCAATTCTTCGGCACTCAACTTTCTTTATAATCCAACTCTCAATCCATACATGACTATTGGAAAAACCATAGCTTTGACTACATGGACCTTTGTCAACAAAGAGACATCTCTGCTTTTTAAAACGCTGTCTAGGTTGGTCATTGCTTTTCTTTCAAGGAGCAAGCATCTTTTAATTTCATGGCTGCAGTCACTGTCCACAGTGATTTGGAGCCCAAGAAAATAAAGTTGGTTATTGTTTCCATTGTTTCCCCATCTATTTACTGTGAAGTGATGGGACTGGATGCCATGATCTTAGTTTTTTGAATGCTGAGTTTTAAGTCAGCTTTTTCACTCTCTCACCTTCATCAAGAGGCTCTTTAATTTCTCTTTGCTTTCTGCCATAAGAGTGGTGTCATCTGCCTATCTGAGGTTACTGATATTTCTCTGATAAGTCATGTCCAACTCTTTGCAACCCCATGGACTATAGCCCGCCAGGCTCCTCTGTGTATGGGATTTCCCAGGCAAGAATACCAGAGTGGGTTGCCACTTCCTTCTCCAGGGGATCTTTCTGACCCAGGAATCAAAACCCCATCTCCTGCATTGGCAGGCAGACCCTTACCACTGAGCCACCTGGGACACCCTTTATTACGTATGGTGATGCCAAATGCTGAAACAGATAAAGCTTTGCGTCTCCATAGTCTAACCCTTTTTGTAAATAGACTCTAGGTTTCATTAATGTTAGGTCTAGTGTTTGGTTTTTAGCACTCATTCAGGAACCTGACTGACAAAAGCTCTGTCATCTTCAACATGCAATTTCCAAAATCATCCTGGGGTGATGCCTAGTTGCCAAATGAGAGAAGAGAGAGTCACAGGGAGGTTTTCAGAACCAAGCCTCAAAGTGTCTCCTCAGTCACAAGACTCCACCAAACTGCAAGGGAGGTTAGCTGGAAAATATGATCTAACTCCATGTTGTGGAAGAAAGGGAAATGGGGTTGGTAAGTAGCTAGCCACCACTGCCTCCGTTTGAAAGGAGAATCAGCAGAGGAGGGTGAGTCTGTGTCCAAACTCTCATCCTGCCAAGTAAAGTATTCAAATTCAGGGGTTCGGGGAAAATAAAGTTTTTGTGGCATGGAACAGGGTCAGAGAGTTGGACACAAATTCAGCAGTGGTGGGTAGATCAGGTTGTCTTTCTAGCAACTAGACCACAAACTTCCTAAGCCATCAGTCTTGAATGACAAGCAAAAGATCAGTTGACATGGATTTGAAGGGACTTGATCCAATGCCTTCCAAAAACTGGAGATTTACTAGAAGCCACAGCCAGAAACCTTTTGGCAGCTATTCCCTCCTGCACATACTCACATAAAAATCCTTTCTCAGGGACTTGCCTAGTGGTCCAGTGGTTAAGACTCTGCACTTCCAATTCCAATGCAGTGGGCATGGATTTGATCCCCAGTTGGGAAACTAAGATCCCACATGCTGCATGGCACAGCAACAAAACAAAACAAAACACCCTTCTCTTGTGCTTTCACAGTTGCCTTTGAAAACCAATTAAACCCAGAGTCTAAATCAGTGTACACCAAAAACCTATTTTCCTTTATTCATGGTCAGTTCAGTTTAGTTCAGTTGCTCAGTTGTGTCCGACTCTTTGCAGCCCCATGAACTGTAGCATGCCAGGCCTCCCTGTCCATCACCAACTCCTGGAGTTTACCCAAACTCATGTCTATTGAGTCAGTGATGCCATCCAACCATCTAGGGCCTAATCTTCATTTAAACACTTCCACGAGAAGAAGGGAAATATATTCCATCTTTCCCATACAGTCAACAAAAGGAAGAAAACCAAAACAGTTGTATTTGGAAACTCAAATACAACTTACTTCTTTCTTTTCTCTCTTGGCAACTAGATGTCAACACTCAGGATGACTTTAAAAGCCAAGTGCTGAGGATGGCAGAGGTTCGATACAGCCTGTCACTTCTCTACTGAGGCCAGTTTCTAGCAGAAAACAAGGATAAGCTGAAAAAACATACAGAAGTAGGAGGGTCTCAGACAAGACCCACAGCCAGGCTGGGAGTGACAGCCTTGATTGGAAAAGGCCTGCAGGGCAGGCAGGGATCTCAAGAATGGAAATAAGATCACCAGCTGCTGGAATGCTTCTCTAGCATTGAGAGCATTGACAGATGACTCTCTTCTCACAGAGGGCCAAGTATTGCAGCTTTCTAGGCAGAAACAAGGGGAAGTGCCACCTCCACACTTTAAAAACCAATTCCATGTGTAGTGCGTTCATCTGGAATGCAACTACTACTCAGGTAGATGGGGTGGAATCCAACAGGCCATCCAGACAAATGTGATAGCTTATTCTGCTTGAAGCAAAGGATATGTGTTCTCCAAATATCTGAATCAAGGGCCAAGAGAAACCAAAGAGTGAATAAAGTAATTATAAGACTAAGAAAGCAAGGGATATCAATAGCTCATATTGCCGGGAGCCAA